CCACACACACACACACACACACACACACACACACACACACACACACATACATACATACATATGAATATACTTACATACGCACGTCTGCGTAAAAATAAGTATTTCAATACTAACAGTTAAAACCACAATAAAGTACATGCAGTAATATATATATATATATATATATATATTTATGTCTATATATATATATATATGTATATATAATACCCATACATACATACTTTAGTGTACATTTTCGTACATACAATTTAGAATTATGCACGTGATGCTTGTACAAAATACATACAACGATATACCTAAATATGTCTACAGTACGCGCTTAAACATACATACATACACATATACATAAATACAAACACATATACATATACATACAAAATACGACATCATATTATTTGCACAGGGAAAAGAATTAAAACCGGTACGATGATGAATGATACCTGGTTGTATGTATGTATGTATGTACACATGCATATGTACACATTGTATGTATGTACAGTTTTGAGTGTACAACAGTATACAGGTTGAATGTACAAACGACAGACGCGCGTACGCATAGAGAAAGAAATATTTATACAGAAGAAAGAAGATTTGACGATGAAAGAATATTTCTTAGTAACTGTCAGAATTGTCAAAATATACATCACCGTCACCAACATCTTCATCTACGTCACTATCGAGCTATTTCCGGTAGGATGATGCTGACGTTTGTCGGTCTGTTTGTTCGTCGTCAAGTTGGAAGAGACGTAATCTTTGAAGGTTTTGATGTTGTTGCTGTACATGCTGTTGTTTGCCATGCAGATGTTGTTGTTCTTGTTGTTGCTGCTGATGTTGTTGTGGTGGATGGTGACGGGTTTCGTTGCAGACAAGAAAACAGCATCTGGAGAATCGATGACGTCAGCAGTGGCGCAGTCGCATTCGCCGCCGCCACCACCGCCGTACGAATGTTTCTTGTTGAACTTCTTGCAGGCTGTGGTGGTCTGGTCGTTAGAGATAGATCTGTGCAAGGGAGGGACCGCCGACGACGACCGATCACAACCGTTACACAGCAGCGCGTTTTTCTCATTGATGGAATCGTACCTGGAGTTTGTGACGTCACCCATGTTTATCTTGGTGGGGCAGCATTTGGAAAGCTGTTTAGAGATGAGTGGCTGTTCCAGCTGCTGCAGCGATTCATCCAGCCCCAAAGGACAGTCGACCACATCGCTCTTGTCGGGAGACGCCACAGGTGAAAAGTCGAAGTGTCGGCTGCCACTGGTCAGCGGGCAGACGTCGGGAGATTTTTGAGGTCCAGAGGCGAACATCTTGGCGTTCTCCACGGGTCGGTAGCGACGAAGCATTTCGGCGCCACTTCTGTAGTTGTCGGTCTTGGTGGATGCGGACGACGGGATGGAGTCTCTGTAGAGCTTCGAGCCGAGCGTGACGTTCGAAGATTTCTTGCTGGAGAAAGCTTGAGTCTGATCATCGAAGCCCACGACGAAGCCAGTGTCCATCTTGACCATGGGTCTGGGGGCGTCGAGACAGGGAACGAGGAGAAGAGGGTTGTGCTCCAGACTGTCGATGATTATTTGGATGGATTGGCGGTCCCCTGGATCGTACTCCCAACAACTTTTGCAGAAGTCTTTCCTGCCGGACGTAAAAATTTTTAAGCTCCCTCAACTCGCAATCATAACTAGAATTTTAAAAAATGTTTTCAAAACTTGACGAAAAAAAAGACGAAAGTAAGACACGATGGGCATACAAATCTTGAGGGCACGCATCGGGCAGTTGCATGGTGTGTCCATCCTTCACATGTCTGACCACCTCCTCATTCGTCTTGTCCTGGTACGGGATCGATCCGAACGTGAAGATCTCATAGACAAGAATGCCGTAACTCCAGATGTCAGACGCCGACGAGAAGACGCCATCCTTCAGACTCTCTGGCGCCATCCACCTTATTGGAAACTTTCCTGGTTGATGGTTTCAGATAGTTCATTAAATGTTCAAAAAGCAGGGTGGAATTTTTAAATAAATAATTCCTAGCATCCCATGAAACAGCCAGGGCATAACCAATCTAACATTCACACTTCATTACAATTCACGAGTAAGATCAGCAAATAAAATAACTCTTTCACCCATCCATTCAACATCCATCCATCGATCCATCGGTCAATTGATGCATCCTACTGACCACTGCTGATGCATCTCACGTAATAACTACTGAACATTTTCTCAGTCAGACCAAAGTCGCCGATCTTAACGAGGCCAGATTCGTGAACCAAGCAGTTTCTACAGGCCAGATCTCTGTTGATGTTAAATCATAAAAATCATCAACCAAATCACTCTTTTATTCTTTTCTCTCTCTCTCTCCTCTCTCTCTCTCACACACACACACAAATAGACACGCCGCACAAAAACGCAGCCAACACACACACACACACACAAACAAACACCAACCTGTGAACGCAGGGTATGCTCATGAGATAGTTCAATCCCTGCGCCACATCCATGGCCATCTTGGTGATAGCCTGGGGGCTAACATCGAGAGATTCGTCGCTACTCTCACTGACAAGATGTCTCCTGGATAGCAGGTAGGACCTCAAATCACCGTGTAGCATGTACTCCATTACGACGAAGTATGGCTCGTCTTTAGAGCAGACGCCGAGCAGTTTGACTATGTTCTCGTGGTCGAAGTCTTTCATTAGCTGGGCCTCCATGAAGAAGGCAGCCTAGTAGATATTATAGTTGAACGTTAGTAAGAAAATTTTTTGATAGGTAGGTTGTGGAGTGGATTGTGGAGTGGATTGCGGAGTGAGTTGCAAAGTGGATTGTGGAGTGGATTGCGGAATGGATTGTGGAGTGGATTGTGGAATGGATTGTGGATTGAGAAATGGATTGTCAAATAGGTTTGGAAATAGATTGTAAGTGTGCAGAAAGTTAATTTAATCATTGTTAATTTAATTATTAAGGAAGAATTTTATCAATAGCTTCGCTGTATGATATTGTTACAATTAATAAAAACAACATCAATATACTGCTTTTACTAGCAACAACAACATAAAAAAAAACCACAACAATAACAATAATAAATTAGAATAATGAAAAATAAATTCTAACAAGATTCTCCGTCGTAGGAGAGTGTGTCAAGGTCTTGACAGCAACAGCCAGCCAGGAATCATTCACCTTGACCTCACCCCCGAGAACTGTGCCGAACTCTCCTTGACCTTTGATTGGTTGGTCGGTTGGTTGATTGATTAATTGGTTGGTTGGTCGGTCGATTGATTGATTGGTTGGTTGAATGATTGATTGATTGGTTGGTTGAATGATTGATTGATTGGTTGGTTGAATGATTGATTGATTGGTTGGTTGAATGATTGATTGATTGATTGGTTGGTTGAATGATTGATTGATTGGTTGGTTGAATGATTGATTGATTGGTTGGTTTAATGATTATAATGATTGGTTGATTTGTACAGACGGGTTGAATGATTCAGTAATCGTTCATGGTTTGATTTTATAGTAGACTTCATTTCATTTCATAGTACATTTGAATAAAATAATGAGCGAATGATTTAAATAAATGAATGAATGAATGAATAAATGAATGGATGAACAAAGAATAAATAAATGAATAAATGAATAAATGAATAAATGAATAAATGAATAAATGAATGAATAAATGAATGAATGAATGAATGAATGAATGAATGAATGAATGAATGAATGAATAAATGAATGAGCGATGAACGAATGACTGACCAATCTTTCTGTTAAGTACAATGTTGGTCCTATCCAGCTCCCACTTCTCCATATGAAAACCGCCAATGATAACCAGGTCACCGATAATCTTGTCATACCTGTCATCATCATCATCATCATCATCATCCTCATCATCATCATCAGTAACATCATAATTATTCATATCATCATCAAATTATCAGCCAGCCAACCAGCCAGACCGTCAATCAACCAACCAATCAATCAAATAGCCAACCAATCAATCAACCAGCCAACCAATCAACTAACCAACCAATTAACCAGCCAACCAATCAATCAACCAGCCAACCAACCAGCCAACCAACCAGCCAACCAACCAGCCAACCAACCAACCCCACAACCTTCTCTTAATGAGAACAACCACGACAACCATGATGATGACGATGATGGAGATGATGAAGACGTTGAGGATGATAAGAGCAGTGTCGCAGCTAACGCTGAACGTCCTCTTGATCCATTCCAAGTTGCAGTAGGGCTCCTCTTTCTCTGTAATTATAATTATTTATTCATAATTATAATTATTTATCCATAATTATTCATAATTATTTAATCATAATTATTACAAACAATCTTAATTATATCATAATACTTCTTAACCTATGATGTCGACAGGGGGCTTCCTATCCAGTGTAAACCATTTTAGATTTCTGAGTGCACTCAGAGTAGCTACGCTGGAATTATCTTCAGGTTTGTACGTTGCTATCTGTGTTGACTGGCTTGCTGATTGGTTGGTTGGTTGATTGATTAGTTGGATGATTGATTGAATAGTTGTTCGATTGATTGATTAGTTGGTCGATTGATTGATTAGTTGGATGATTGATTGATTAGTTGGATGATTGATTGAATAGTTGGATGATTGATTGATTAGTTGGTCGATTGGTTGATTGTTTAATTGATTGTGTATTGGTTAATTGATTTCGATTTATTTAATGATTGGTTGATTGAATGTGCATTGGTTAATTGGTTGGTCGATTTATTTAATGATAGATAGATTGATTGATTAATTGACTGATTGGTTGATTGATTGTGTATTGATCCTTCATTAACTGATCAAACGAATGCCACAACCATTCAACAAAACCGTAAAATCTGATACAAATACAACACGATAATTTCGTGATTTGAAAAGAAAAAAACAACTTTTCTTCAGCTAGCACTCGAACCCAGTAACCTTGAATTTGCCGGACGTCGATGTTGGGCACTCTATCGAGGTTATTGAAGCTTACACTGCCAGACAGTCCCATGAAGCTAACTTCATTTACCGTCTCCAAAAACTCCCTGATTTTAGCGTTGGGGTTTGATCAATCCAGATAGTATAAATAAAAACTAAAACAATGAGAAAGCATCAACAAAGACGACGTCATCAAAACCACAACAACAACATCAACAACAACAACCACAACAACAACAACAGCAGAAGCAGCAACAACAACAACAGCAGCAGCAGCAACAGCAGCAACAACAACAACAACAACAACAACAACAACAACAATAATAATAATAATAACCACCTCAACTTTTCCTGATTGAAAGGATTTTCCAAATAGGTGGGGTTCTTAATGAGTAGCTTGTGGAAGGTGTGTGCGAACAAGACAACAGCATCGTAGGCGAAAGTTTCAGCTCCCTTAAAACTCTGCAGATATTTACATGTGTACATTCGTGTGTGTGTGTACGTGTGTTTGTGTGTGTGTGTGTGTGTGTGTGTGTGTGTGTGTGTGTACAATGCAATCAATCACACCACCACCGAGGGTAAAAACAACCGTCAGCAAAATCGCCACCAACCCCAGATCGAGAATTAGAAGTAAAGTTCAAAATCTTTGAAGCGGTCAAATTATCTTGAAGGATAGTGAAACTATGTTGTATCATGATAGTGCTCTGGGCGGCCTCACTGATGCTTGCGGCAGTGCACTTCATGCGACCACTCGGTCTGGCAACAGCAAATGGGCTTGGAGTTGCGTTGGTATGTCTGTTGAATTTGGACGATTTGAAAAAACTTTCAATGTTGATGTTGTTGTTGCTGCTGCTTGTTACTGATCTCTTTTTTTTCCTTCTCCAGCGATTGTGGTTGTTGTTGTTGTTGTTTATTGATTTTTTTCTTCTTCTGCTGCTGTGGTTGTTGTTGGAGCCGGTGCTGGTTGCGGTGTCGTCGTTGTCGTGACGATTGTTGATGTAGTTGTTGTTGTGGTCGGCGATGTTGTAGCCGTGGTTGCTGCTGTTGTTGGTGGTCGCGGTGTGGCTGCTGGTGGCTGTAGCGTTGGAGGGCTCTGCGGGCACGATGGATTTGGGGTCGACCCACCAGCGCTCCAGAAGAGTGTCCACGAAGATCCACAGGTATCCCTGCTTGATGGTCATTTCCTGCAAACGTCGGTCAGTTAATTAGTTTAATGAGTAAATGAGTGACTGAATAAATGAGTGACTGAGTAAATGATAAAGTAAATGAGTGAGAGAATGAATGACCGAGTGAATGAATGAATAAAAGCCAAGTTACTTCGCGATATATTTTGCACGCGAAGTCCCGAGCAAAATCCTGCGGTACGAAAGCGATGTTGACAAGAAGCTTGTGCTCTTTCAGGCCCTTCAGACACTGAAAATTGTACAACGAGTTCGTGAAATCATCATCGTCGTCATCATCATCATTACGGACATCATCGTCATCATCATCATTACGGACATCATCGTCATCATCATCATTACGGACGTCATCGTCATCATCATCATTACGGACATCATAGTCATCATCATTTTAAGTTACTTATTTAAAAAATAAGATGTGCCATAGACCAACCTGACTAAACTCTGTTTCGTTATTCGGTGAGGTGAGCTTAGCGGAGTGGGCCACCTCGATGCCATACTGGGTGAGGACCTTAATGAAGTGCTCGCCGTAACCTCTGTAGGCCGGCCTCGAGAACATGAACATCCCGATCCTCTGATAGTCCATGTGATCTTTCAAGAGGTACTTTAGGATTTGCCTGGTAGTGGTGGTGGTGGTCAAGGTGAAGGTCATGATGACGTGAAGAGGGAGATGCACTGAGATGAATGACAAACACGCGAACGTACGAACGCGAAACAACAGCCTCTGCAACAGCAAGCAACAACTAACGCTTTCTCTTTCAGCGATGGATGGGTCCTAATAATGTGCCTGGTGCTATTATCTGGGTTCTCCTCTTCCGAGGTCAAGGGCGTTCGACTGTACGTGATTAAGGGCAGCTGCACTGATTCCATGTACCTCGTCAGCAAGATGGTCGACTCAATGGAGGAGACCGCTGGTTTTGAAAGAAAGCAGAAATCATAAAACTTTCGTGTAAATACGTACGTGTGTCTGTGTTTCTGTGTGTGCGTCTGTATGCGGTAATGTATGTGTATATGCGTGTATGTCTATGAACAACAACCAACCAACCAGCCAACCGACCAACCAACCAACCAACCAACAACCAACCAGCCAACCGACCAACCAGCCAGCCAACCAACCAACCAACCAATCAACCAGCCAACCGACCAACCTATTAGACCATAGACAACGTGCGTTTTGTTGGTTAAAAAGTAGTTGAGACCCTGGATGCACCTATGGGCCAAAATACTTTCCTTATCGCCGCTGGCAAAGAAAGAATTGATCTGCAGCTCGTGGTTCGGCAGCAGCGAGTCATTCATGTTTATCTCGTGGATGGCCATTTTTATAGCTGGTCAGTCGGTGAATGATGGTTACGTCATTACAAACGTCATTATACAATGCAATGCGGAACAAAATGTACAACACAAAACAACACAAAACAATACAAATACAAAAGGATACAATAAAAAACAAACAACGGAATGTAACACGGTAGAAAACAATTGGCAACCGGATAATTCAGCCATGCTGTCTTTCATTATGATGATTCCAACAAAAATTGGGACCTTCTTGAATTGAGGGGGCATCCAAGTCGACCAAATATTTCTATTATTTCGCAACCACCTGACCAATCAAACAATCAATCAATCAATCAATCAATCAATCAATCAATCAATCAATCAATCAATCAATCAATCAATCAATCAATCAATCAATCAATCAATCAATCAATCAATCAATCAATCAATCAATCAATCAATCAATCAATCCAATCAGTCAATCAACGAACTAACAAGCAAGCGGCCAGTTCGGCTGTCCTGTTATCATTCATCAAGGTCAGTGCCCTTCTCAGGTCATCATTCGTGAAAGTCATGGCCGACAGGAAATAATAAATATCCGGGGAATATTGTCTGCCATTATTGTTATTATTATTATTATTGTAATTGTTGTGGTTGTTTATCATAACTGGAATTTAAACTTATCAGTCAGCCAACCGACCGATTAACCATCTGACTAACCAACCAACCAAACAACCGACCGACCGACCGACCAACCGATAATTAACCAGCCAATCAACTAACATCAAATTCTTCATAACGGTCTTGCGAATATCATAGGGCTCAAGCCGACAGTCGGAGTTATCATCAGTAGAACTAACATTAGCAGTGGCCAACGGACAATTATCCGGATTAACGGAAATGGGATAAAACTTCCTGGTAGAGGATAAGTAATCCAGGTTCCATCCATGATAGATAACTGTCTGGCGTTCGTCGTACTTTTCCAAGACAAAGGGTTCTAATTTGCTCCCTAGCCAGAAAATTATGACGTCAAGTTGCAGTTGATTCATCTGCTTCAACAGGCATTTTCCATTTACATCTGTTGTGTGTACGTGTGTGTGTGTGCGTGCGCGTGTTGTACATATATTCATGAGAGAAAGAGAAAAAGGGAGAGAGAGAGAGAGAGAGAGAGAAAGGAGAAAGAGAGAGAGAGAAAACAATTGTAAGGATAACAAAAATTACATATAAAACAATCACCACAATCATCCATATCATCATCATCGTCGTCGTCATCATCATAACCAACGCCATCTTCTTCATCCTCTCACCACCATCATCATCATAAACAAATCAATATTTCATTTGGTGTTCCTTATTTATGTAGCGCACATACATTTTTTTCATCAATGCACCCATATATCTTTATTTATAATTTTTGTTTTTTTTAGTATATATATATATATATATATATATATATATATTTATTCATATTTTTCTTTTTTTTAACCAGACATACATGTTCCCCTTCGATATATTGGAAGGTCGTTCAACATTATTATTATTGTTGTTATTATTATCATTCTTGTCATTGTTATTATTGTTGTGGTTATTATTATTACCAATGTTTTTATTGTAAGTGACGTCGTTGCAGACGTAAAATAGACAAACAAACGAACAGACAGAAAATAAAGACCATACAATAAAACAAAGAAATAAAATTAAAAAAAAACACCAAACACCAAACCAAGCCAAACCAACCGTAATATGACGACAAAACCACAGTGCATGAATACGGATTTGAGTAACAGTTTCTGCTATAATAAACCCCACCCACACAAACCCCGTCGTAATTGTTTCTTTGTTTTTCGCACCCAAACATCGGCAACTTATATCGGTCTACCATAGTTATTAACTCTTTGTAGTAACTCGTAGTATTCAAGTGGGCTGTAAGTTCTTTGTTCTTGAGGAAGTCTAAACAATTGTAACTAGACCAGGTGAACGTGAACGAATTATCGTAGTTCGGCAGAATTAGCCAGTTCGGAATATAGAGAGAATACCTGGAAATGTGCGTGCGTGTGTCTCGATGTGTGTGTGTGTGATTGTGTGTGTACGTGTGAGTGTGTGTGATTGTGTGTGTGTGTGCGTGTGAGTGTGTGCGTGCGTCAATAAATGTATGTGTGCTGCTTGTATTTGTGAGTATTATTTCTGCGTGTATGTACACACAAGTAAGTATGGGTATTTGCATGTACGACACACGCGTGTACATCCGCTTGTGTCGGTATGTATACAAAGAGGTTGGTACATACATACGATTGTTTGTTTGAGACGGTTCCTATTAGGTATATAGAAAAAACTGTTGTTTATTGTGTAGCTAACTATGAGAGAGAGAGAGAGAGAGAGAGAGAGAGAGAAAGAGAGAGAGAGAGAGAAAGAGAGAGAGAGAGAGAAAGAGAGAGTGAGTAAGGGAGGGAGAGAGTGAGTGAGAGATAGAAAGATAAATTTTCATAACAGATTGTCTAAATAAAAACAAAAGCAATA